AATTATTACTTCTGGCGAGATTCTAGAGTGCGCATCCCATGCATGCTGTGCTTTTCCATTATGCCCCGCGAGAGAATTCATGAATGGAAGTGAAGCGACGCAACTGACGCAAGTAGGTCATGTGACCATGACAAAATGGCGAATGTAGTAGGTCCGAATTCCATTCATACTGCTCACATACTGTATAGACCGTACTTTTGTAACAGCCGAGTAGTACGTTTAAATTCAAATGCAGTACCTACTGAGAAGTAGACGGTTTCAGATGCAGCCAGATTCTCTGAAACGTGTCTTAATATGATGCAATTTCAACACTTCAAATAAATGTCCATTGATTTAAAGATCATACTTATTGTATTAGTAAATAAAACTTAAACAAAGGGACGGCATTGTGGCTCAGTGGTTAGCATTATCGCCTTAAAGCAATAAGGTTGCTGGTTTGAGTCCCGGCTGGGTCAGTTAGCATTTCTGTGTGGAGTTTGCATGTTCTCCCTGTGTTGGTGTGGGTTTCCAGGTGCTCCGGTTTCCCCCACAGTCCAAACACATGTGCTATAGGTGAATCGAATAAACCAAATTGCCTGTAGTGTGTGTGTGAATGAGTGTGTATGGGTGTTTCCCAGTACTAGGCTGCAGCTGGAGGGCATCTGCAGCGTAAAACGTGGCGGGTCATTCCGCTTTGGTGACCCCTGATTAATAAAGGGACTAAGCCAAAGGAAAATGAATGAATGAATTGTACTTTTGTACTAAATCTAAATTTGTCAAAAATCATTTTTGTTATGTTATTAAATTAAAATAAAAGTAATAAATATAAAGAGTGTTTCCTTTGCAATTTATTGAAATAAAATACAAATTGATAAAAATAATGCACTAATTAAATTTCAGGTCTTTCCCAGTGCTGGGTTGCGGCTGTAAAAGCAAACGCTGCTTAAAACATATGCCGAAGTAGTTGCCGATTCATTCTGCTGTGGTAACCCCTGATGATAAATAACACACTAAGCCAAAGCAGAATGAATGAATTGCAGGTAACTGCAGATGATATTTTTCTTACTTTCACTCACTTTATGAGAGCATTTTAAACATTTCCCTGCAAACTAAAATCTGAAAACTATATTTTAATTTGTTTTGATTTCATTTGATTTCATGTAACAAAATAAACTGACTTTAGATTTTGGTCACTTTACATTAATCCCACACTATATTAAATAAATCAACCCAGGCTCATTCTGAAAACATATTTACATTTCTGGGGAAATGGCCAAATCCGTCCGAGGCAATCTGTTTTTTTTTTTTTTTTGTTTGTTTTTTGTTGCTTTTTTTTTTCACGAATCCACCAGAGGCCGCTGTGCACACTTTTTGAGGTCTCAAATTTCTCTCGAAAGTGCCATTCGTGCTTGCTGTTCCCACATAAATCCACCAGAGACTCCTGACTGACTGAAAGATCGACTGACCCACCCTCCTCTTTTCCTTAACCCAACCAATAGTGTTTTCAAAAGCAGCGATTGACTTGCTCATCCACTTCCCTAAACTCAACCGACAATGTTTTGAAAAGCAATCCAGAAAAAGAAAAGCCCTCTGCTTATTTTTTACCATGTTTTCAGATTTTACTACATTCTCAACCTGTTATATACTTGTTTATTTTATTGTTTTGGCTTTTGTTTTTGTCTTACCTGCTTTCTGGAACCGTTCTTCAACAGACTCGAACCTTGTCGTCGTGGTTCTCCTCTCTACATCTCAAGTCCGTTGACGTATGCTGTGAGCCACTGGACAAACTGGTAACAGCGGGAAAGCTGTCAATACGAAGGTATGCGATCAGCTGGTAGCGTGAAAAGGAATGGCATCATACCGCCCTGTGTCGATCACTTTACAGAAAAAATGCAGCCATATGTACCTCTGGCTACATAATTCCTGATCTCCAGAAAAGTATGTAGGGCTGCATTTTCAGAATGAGCCTGTAATGAAATTAACAAATGTAAAAAAAAAAAATAAAAAAATAAAAAAATCAATAAAGTTACATTTATTTCACATATTAATAAACAAATGTAAAAAGTAGTAAAACTATTATTGTGAAGAGTTTTTTTTTTTCAGCTGACGACTGTACTCAAGATCAAACATCGTATCGTTTCCTCTGAGACAAAACCATAAACGCCTGTCGTTTTTAACAGGAGTGAATTTTGTGGCTAGTTTGCGTTAAAAACCTTGAATTATGCAGGTCGTGGAGAAAGAGAAGCAGAGACGGACCGCAGAAACACTGATGAGGAGAGAGCTTCAGATTATTCACACTGAGGATTTTTCAGACTTTCTTTCAGGCTTTCTCCATTTAAAAGCACGTTATTAATGATTGATGGAGGCTGGTCTTTATTTACGGCTCTGTCATGCACTGTTAGGAGCACACATCAAATCTTGATTCTGCGACACAAACTGGGTCAAACCGCAAGCCCGGAGAGAGATGGAGATGCAGAGAAGTGCAGAAAGTCAAGGGAATTTTATGATGGAGATGTTCTACTACACTGCTTGTTCAAACTACTGATCTAAAATGAGTAGAAATCACACTTCTTTAGATTTTTTTTATGTTCAATCCACTTAAATTTGTATAAACAATTCAGTTACCTTAGTTGAATTGAGTTGGGACAACATGAATGAATTGTGTGGAGTCCTCCGTTTATTCCAGTGTACACTCAATTAAGGAATTTTGCTGCTTGTTCAAACTACTGATTTTAAATGAGCTGAAACAACACACTTCTTTAGATTTTTTGGGGGGACAACTTATTTTATGTTCAATGCACTTTTATTTTTATAAACAATTCAGTTACCTTAGTTAACTGCGTTGGGACAACATTAATAAATTGTGTGGAGTCCTCCATTTCTTCCAGTGTACACTGAATAAGGAAATGTTGCTGCTACACTGTATACAGTGATTAGTTACTTAAAGCAAGTAAACCAATTGCTTTAAAGGAAATAAGTTGGCTTTACTAAAATCATGTAAGTAAACCCATTGCAACTTGGAACTGTTATGCTCGCTTAATTTTTAATTATATGCAAATTGTATTCACTTTTGTTAAATAAAAGTAAACTAACCACTTTTTCCATCTCACATTTGTTGCATTTGTTTTTTCCAGCTTTTCTGTATCTAGCATAATGACAGTGACTAAAATAAATCTGCTCTTCCAGACTCCAGTGTGTCTTTTAAATTCAATAGAGGCTATTATTGTAGATTTTATAGACTTAATGAAGCACCTAATAATATTGTAATAATTAACTATTTGAAAACAGACGTGCTAATATAGTCTGACACTGTAAAAAGTGATTAGTTGACAACTTTTTACATTGTACACTCAATAGAGTAATTTTGCTGCTTGTTCAAACTACTGATTTAAATAGGCTGAAACAACACAATTGTTGAGTTTTTTGGGACAACTTATTTGTTTTATGTTCAATCCACTTAAATTTGTATAAACAAATAAGTTAACTTATTTTAAATAAATTGAAAAAACAGGAATGAATTGTACACTAAAAAAAAAGGATTTTTGCTGCTTGTTCAAACTACTGATTTAAAATGAGCTGAAACAACACAACTGTTGAAATTTTGGGCAACTGAATTGTTTTATGTTTAATCCACATAAATTTGTTAATTCTTGCGATTTGTGTTGGGACAACATGAATGAATTGTGTAGAACTTGGCATTTATTACAGTGTCAAAAAATATACTGCTTTAAAATGAGCTGAAATAACACAATTCCTGATTTTTTTGAGGACAAATTGTTTATGTTCATCATAAATTTGTGTTTATCAATCAATCAATCAATCAATCAATCAATCAATCAATCAATCAATCAATCAAAGATAAACAGTAAGGAAAGAGTGAATAGTGAGGGATATGTAATTTCATAAATATTTAATGTAATTAATTTAAAAAATCTTAATAATGTGCATTTTAAATAATTTTTTTTATTTAATTTCATTTTAATATACAGTAACTAATAAAATGTAGAGTTTAAATGCAGCTATATTTTAATTGTTCAAAAAAATCTTTTTGCACTGTTTTTGAAACTACAATATTTAACTTAATTTGATGTTTTATTTAAATGGGGTTTCATAATTTTTTTTTAGAAAAACTAATTTAATTTAATTTAATTTAATTTAATTTAATTTAATTTAATTTAATTTAATTTAATTTAATTTAATTTAATTTAATTTAATCATTCATTCATTTTCTTTTCGGCTAGTCTCTTTATTAATCCCAACTTATCCAGCACATGTTTTACGCAGCGGATGCCCTTCCAGCCACAACCCATTTCTGGTAATTTAATTTAATTTAATTTAATTTAATTTAATTTAATTTAATTTAATTTAATTTAATTTAATTTAATTTAATTTAATTTAATTTAATTTAATTTAATTTAATCATGTTTGCATTCTTTTTGGCCATAAAATGTCATATTTTAATGAAACTTTTTGCACACCTATTTGTCTATACAATATTTGATTTAAAGTATTTTTAAGCTTAATATTTACAATTTATTTAATTGGATTGAAATGGAGTTTACACTGCTTAACAAATTATGCAATGCAAATATTGACTTTTGCTATACATTTTTTTATGCACGATGTTATTTGCTTGTTATTTTTTGACATACTGTGTAAAAACAATAATAATAATAATAAATTAACTAATTTATATATATATATATATATATATATATATATATATATATATATATATATATATATATATATATATATATATGTTACTTTAAATTAAATTAGATAAATATTAAATTTAAAATCACATTAATAAGCGAACATTTAAAAAAATTAAAATAACAATGAAATAATAAAAATAATAGAAATATTGATCATCTTTTGCAGACAAAATAACTTATTATCATGCAATCTTTCAGTGAATGCATTTCCAAAACAAATGCACAATTATCGCCATGGCAACAGAACACACCAAACTCAGAAAGCATCCACAAAAGTGCTGCGATGCTCCTGCTAAACTTCCCATCAGAGACTGTAAATTGCACCGCGGCCCAATTAAGCCCCCCTGTCCCGGCTGAGCGAGTGTGAGGGTCTCGTGCTCCCCTTAATGGACTGTACGGGGCCACACACTCCTCATTTACAGCCTGTGCCAATGGCAGGACGGGCAGGAGGGGCTGAGCCTGATTCCACTGCCCCAAGGCATCGCTGCTAGAGAATATATATCTCTCTCTATCTCTCTCTCTCCTGTTCATCCATGTGTGTGTGTGTGCGTGCGTGTGTCTCTCGCTCCTCATAAAACAGCCGAACGCACAGGAGCGGCGCCTCTGGAACGGGACACTGACGCACAGCAGGTAAGAGCACAGAAACTGTCATGTGTGAGAGTTTACAGCAGCTTCAGATCCGGTGTGGGATTAAATGACGCAGGTGTAAACTAATGCAAAAGTTTTCTGAAGAGGAAAAAAAAGATTGAAATATTGAACACACTTGATAATAAATGATTCATTGGATTTACTGGGGGGTTTTTAAGGTAAGTGGTTGCAAACAATTTATATGGGCTGAATTTAAACAAACAACTTAATTTGAGTAACGTTCAGCTTAATTTGATTGTTTAAATTCAGGCAAAAGTAAATCATTTCCAACACCTGACCTTAAAAAATGAAGAAAATCCAATCAATCTTTTTTTTTCTGTGTGGAAAGGTTGGTATACTATACTGTATGTTATGTAAAAGTGTAAAATAGAGCGCAGGATTAGCTGTGATGTGTTTAAAAGAATGTCCGTATGATATTTTAAGTAAATATAGTGTTTTGTATGAGATGTATGAGTGTTTTTTAGTGTTGGATTTAAATGTAGGGATCAAACTGCAGTTGGTTTTGTGAACATTTAAATAATATTTGGAACATTTGGAAGTTCTAAAACGGAATTATTTATTTCTGTTCTGATTTTAGTTTCTCTTCTTACTTCCTTTCTTTTATTTTATTTTCTTTCATTCTTTTCATTTTTTCTTTTTTTGTTTCCTTTCCTACAGTGCACAGCATAATTGAGTACACCCCATTCTGAAGATGAATATTTTGATCCATTTCCCAGTCAATAGGCAATGTATTTTGGAGCATTTAAACATAAGAGATTTATTAAACAGAAGAATAGTGTTTTGTATGTGATGTATGAGTGTTTTTAGTGTTGGATTTAAATGTACGGATCAAACCGCAGTTGGTTTTGTAAACGTTTAAATAATATTTGGAACACTTGGAAGTTCTAAAATGGAATTTAAATTTCTGTTCTGATTTTAGATTCTCTGCTTACTTTCCTTTTCTTCTTTTCTTTTTTCCTTTCCTTTATTTCTTTTCTTTTATTTTCATTCATTCACTTTTTTTACTCTTTCTTTCTTTCTTATTTTCTTTAACTTTCTTTCATTCTTTCCTTCATTCCTTTCTGATGAATATTTTGATCCATTTCCCAGTCAATAGGCAATATGTATTTAAACAAAACAGATTTATTAAACAGAAGTATAGTGTTTTGTATGTGATGTATGTGTTTTAAGTGTTGGATTTAAACGTACAGATCAAACTGCAGTTGGTTTTGTGAACTTTTAAATAATATTTGGAACACTTGGAAGTTCTAAAATGGAATTTTAATTTCTGTTCTGATTTTAGTTTCTCTCTTACTTCCTTTCTTTTCTTTTTTTTCTCCTTTCTTTCTTTCTTTTTTACTTTATTTTCTTTTATTCTTTCCTTTCTTTTATTCTTTCATTCTTTCCTTTATTTGTTTCTTTCTTTCTTTCTTTTTTCTTTCTTTCTTTTCTTTTCTTTCTTTCTTTCTTTTTCTTTCTTTCTTTTTTCTTTCTTTCATACAGTGCTCAGCATAGTCGAGCTCAACCCCTGTTGAAAATGATTTTTCTCCATTTCTCAGTGAATATAGGCAATGTGTTTTGAATATGTAGAAATTTAATTATAATACAATTAAACTCAAGCAAAATATTGCCAAAAAATGACAAATAACAAAATTTCAACTTAATTATTATTATTCTTTTTTTTCTTTTTTTTTTTTTTTTTGCTTCTCTTGATTTTACCTCTTTTTTAAATTTGTATTTAATATTTTTCTATAACATATAAATTTGGCTATAGTAGTTTTTGGACCGTTATCATGAGTTATTTTGTTAGATTAGCTCCAAATATGGCTTCTTAACTGACAAATCTAATGTATATGCACTGATATAATATTGTAGAGCTTCCTATTAAATATATGAATTGAAAAGAGAGATTTGTGAGGGGTGTATTCATATATGCTGAGTACTGTAAATGTTCAGTCAGGCCAGATTTATATTTTTTTTCCATATAAGTTTCAACTAAGTAAATTCGGTACATTTATCTAATTTCGGGAATTTCATATTTGTCTTGTTAATTTTTAACAACTATAGATCATTTAATAGCAGTTTCTATTGTGACAACTAACGCCATATCATTTAAAATCAGTGGTAAGAAATAAACATAAAATAACAGATAGATGAAACTAAACTCCAGAAGTCCTAAAATAATCCCTTGATGCTTTTAATTAAATTAAATTACATTTATTTGATTATCAAATTCTAATTATTTCTGTACACAATTAAGAATTAAGTAATTATTGAATAAATCATAATATTGTTAAATATTTTATCAATAATATATTCTCAGATGTCTTTTAAATGTTGTAACTGAAAGTAAAATAATTTTTAAAAACATTTTCTACAGTTTTTTAGCCATTTATGCATTTAAACAACAACAACCCGTCTGTTCAAATGAAAGTAAAATAAAGTGTTTTTAATTAATATTTAGTATTTTAATTTAAAGTTCTATTTCGTTTTAATTATTAGATACTGGCCTCGCATTGTAATTTTTATGAACGCAAATTATCTAAGACTTGAGTAAAAGATTTATACAATAACTACAAGACGTAGATACTGTATTCTGGTGTTGAATGAACTGTTTTGCATTTTCCACTGATTTTCCTATTATAGCTTGTGTAATTGTGACAAAATTCCCCGTCACAAAAAGGTCATCATGTTAAATGAACTGTAAACCTTTCATAGAATTTTATCATTTCTATATGAAATAACAGCTTTTTTTCCAGTTATTTCTGCATTGGTCTTATAAATATTTACTTGAGTTAAAAGTGTGACATCTTACTCTGATTCACAGCAAAATAATATACAAAATTATTATTAATATCTCACATTAGTGATGCACATATGCAACTGGGCTTAAAAAAATAAAACTAAAATACTGCTTTAATTAATTGACATGTATTTGTATTATTAAATACTAAATAGTTGACTTAAAATAAAAGCTGGTAATCTAAAAATGATTATATACTGAGAAATGTGCAATTAACGCATGCATTTAAATATTTCACTTTATTATAAGAAGCATGTTATGTTATAAAAAAAGTTTTTGTTTAATTTTAATTTTGTTTAAATTTTACATAGTGAAAATGTGCATATGCACGCATTTTTATTACGAAATATTAAATATTTGACTTTAAAAAATAAAAAAACATGATATAAAAATAGTTTAATTTCTTACTGAGAAATGTGCATATTTAGGAAAAAATCAATGTAGTTTTATTACTTACTACTAAATATTTGACTTCGAAAAATAAGAAGCATAATGTAAAATAGTTTTATTTAATTTTTAATTGATCATATACAAAGAAATGTTCATATATACATATACATGGACAAACGCGTGTTTTTATTATTAAATACAAAATATTTGACTATATATATATATATATATATATATATATATATATATATATATATATATATATATATATATATATATATATATATATATATATATATAGTTTTATTTTATTTGAATGGTTAACATACTGAGAATTGAGCATATTTAGAAGAAATTGCATGTATTTTTGTTACTAAATACTAAATATTTGACTTCAAAAAATAAAAATATATATAATATAGTTTTATTTCAGGTTTAATTAATTATATACTAAAAACATGCATATATGCTTGGAAAAAGCATGTTTTGTATTATTAAATATTTAACAATAAAAACATGTTTAAAATATTGCATTTAATTTTAATTGATTATATACTAAGAAATGTGCATATTTGAAAAATGCATGAATTTCTATTACTAAATAATAAATATTTGAGTGAAAAAAGAAAAAGCATGTTATTAAAATAGTTTTACTTCATTTTAATTGCTTATATACTAAAAAAATGTGCATATATACATGGAAAAAATGCATGTTTTGTATTAATAAATACTAAATGTTTGACTTAAAAAATAAAAAGCACGTTATCAAACAGTTTTATTTTAATTTAATTAATAGTAAACTCAGAAAAGTCTATTTAACATTAAATCTAAATGAATATTTAAAGACAAAAAACGATGTTGATATTAATCACAGATGCACCTTTGTTTTAGATCCTTCATAAAGAGTGGAGCTCAAGAAACTTCATTTGCGGATCGAACTCATTCAGCTGAACTAGAGGTATGAATGACAAAACACACATTTTACACAAAATTACACACACACTTGTCAACACCCATCCAACTTCTGATCAGAATTCACATAAGAGTCATTTAACCTTTTAAGTGATGAGGATTTACAACCGTACATCCTCTCTGTTCGTCACTGCTGCGCTGTGTGTGACCTTGTTTTCCTTACACTATGGGGACATAATGTCTCCATATGTATAGAAATACTAGTAGCTTTTGGCCTTCTCTGTAGCAAATGCTGGGTTCCAAACAATTCCTTTATGTCATCCCAACACAAATCGATTAAGTTAACTTTAAATTTAAGTCGATCAAATGCAAAACAATGAAGTTGTCCCCCCAAAAAATCTAAGAATTGTGTTGGGTCAAGTGGTTTGAACAAGCAGCAAACATTTTTTTTTTTATGTGCTGTGGGGACATTTTTTGCTCTCCATGAGAAGAATTACTCATAAATCCCACAGAATGAAGTATTTAACAATGTAAGAATGCAGATTGTTTGCTGTGAGGGTTATTCTAGGGCTAGGGTTGAGGTAGGGAGATAAAAATCATTACATCTATAGGAAGTCCCCATAAAAATAGCTGTACAAGTGTGCTTGTGTGTGCGTGTGATCAGTTCTTGGATTTGTCAAAGTATGTCAATGCTTTTAGCAAGCGGTCCTATTTAAGTGAGACAATACATATTTAACACATCCATTGACCGGCGTCCACTCGGAGCCCGAGGGCCTTAAAACCGTCCCGCAGCGAGAACAACTCTAAAATAATTTTATTGATTGACTAACAGCAGCGTTTGATGTCCAGTTAAAACCAGAGCATGACCGCAGTGTGACCAAAAACACAACGGTAAATGATCTGCAGCGCTGAAACACTCCAAGAACAAAAAAAGTCGACACCTGTGTTTAAAATAAATGAAGCCATTTTAGATGAATTGTTTTGCATTTTACACTTATTTGTGTGTAAAACTGTGACATTTATAGTGCACAGACACACACACACACACACACACACACACACACACACACACACACACACACACACACACACACACACACACACACACACACACACACACACTTACTATCTCTATTATTGAATGTTTATATTTTAAAATAATTTTTATTGGATTCAAATACATTTTTTATTGTTTAATATCCAATATAGATATCTAATAATTCTAAAATTATAACAAATATATTATAAAATATATTACAATATAATATATATATTTATTTAATATATTTATTTATAATATATTTAATATAAAATGTGTTAGAAATATTTTATAATAGTCAGTTTGTTATTTGTTTGGTTGTAAGTATAGGTGTTTTGTGTAAATATCGTCATATCCTTTTTCAGCTCAATACAAAAGTAATAAAATAAATAAAAAATATTCAATATAGATATCTTATAATTAATTTATTTATAATTATTAAACATAATTATTTCAGTTAGTTCTTAAAAACACTTTATGTTTTATGTTCAATCCACTTCAAGATTGACACACACATACAGTAGAAGCCAAAATTATTAGCCCCCTTTGAATTGGTTTTCTTTTTTAAATATTTCCCAAACGACATTTGACAGAGCAAGGAAATTTTCACAGTATGTCTGAAAATGTTTTTTCTTGTGTAGAAAGTCTTATTTGTTTTATTTCAGCTAGAATATAAGCAGTTATTAATTTTTTAACCACCATTTTAAGGTCCATATTAGTAGCCTCTTTAAGCTAAATATATTTTTGATAGTCTACAGAACAAACCATCGTTATACAATAACTAGCCTAGTTACTCTAACCTTTAAACATTTTAAACGAGCATATTTTTTTCAGTGCATCTATCTTAGCAAATATTGATTGCTTGTTCAAACCACAGACTTAAAATGAGCGGAAACAACACAATTTTGGAGATTTTGGGGGGGGGGGAACTTTATGTTTTATATTCAGACCACTTAAATGTATTACGTTTACTTAATCAATTTGACTTGGGACAACCTGAATGAATTGTGTGGAACCCTGGCCTTCAAACAAATGCTAAATATTATGCATCAATTATTAATATCTCAATTAATTCTCAATTATTCATCTTTTAATAACCCAGTACTGGGAAACACCCATACACACACACACACACTCAAATACTATGGCCAATTTAGTTCATCCAATTCACCAATAGCGCATGTGTTTGGACTGTGGGGGAAACCGGAGCACCCGGAGGAAACCCAACACGAGGAGATAATACAAACTCCACACAGAAATGCCAACTTGGCCAGCCGGTACTTGAACCAGCGACCTTCTTGCTGTGAGGTGACAGTGCTAACGACTGAGCCACCATGTGTGTATATGTTCATTATTGAGCGTCTGTCTCTTTAACTCCAGCAGTGACTTCACTCTTTCCTTGAGTGCTGTAATAGATGTAATAGAAGTGAAATTTCTTTAAAGCCGAACGTCTGCGGGCTCTTATTGTGTACAGCCGCAAAACTCATGCCTCTCAGCGGGACATTTCATCCTCCGCTTCAGTTCCTGCACTCCTTTTCCTCTCTATTTTCCACCTAGAGCTAAACGCCAGGAGCGGGAAATAAATAATCAAGAATTAGGCATACTTTTATCATAATAGAGAGGCGTTTGAGTGATTTCTGAGGCGCTTCTCTTTTGATTTCACCATGCTTTAATTGCCTTCAACGTCTCTTTTTTACTTAAAGCTTTTATTGAAAGTATTAGCTAAATTGCATCAGTTTAGCTGTTCCCTTCTGAAAGAGTGCGGATGGATTTTTATAGTTATGAAATGTAATTGAATTAAAGGTGCTGTATGTAAGTTTTTAACTCTTCTAAAGCATAAAATACCATAGTATGTTTGCAGATATTTCAGAAACATGCCAAGTGAGCATTCTTGTTAATCTGATAAAACAATTGTGAATTCAGATATTCTGCTTTGAAAACATGTTATTCGTGCTGGAACGGCTCTCTTTGTTTTGGTCTCTTTAATCCGCCCAATGCCAGTTCAGCCAATTATATTTGTAGCAGCCCGGGTTGCCTTGGTGGAAGACAGCAAAATCCATTTATTCAGTCAGAGAGGCTCTTAACCCATGCCTACATGACCGAAATGCGACCTCCAGTGGACAATAACAGCATCCGAAATGAGACGCAGATTCAGAGTTCCACATGAGGTTATTAATTAGCAAATAATATACATTTTATGAACGTAACCATTAGGTGAGCAGGTTACATTGTAACCCCATGTCCTGACAACACACTACATGACCAGGGGTCAGTTCTTTGTACGTGGATTACTCGGATTTGGTTATTGACGATTTGACATGATCCAGGATTGTTCCGTTCTTCAAAACTCATCCAGGAGTTTTTATTATAGCAACAGGTCTGGTAGCTCAAATCTGCTCAGGAGCAGCTTTATTTCAGAAAAACAGGATTAGATCGGGTAATTTCAAACAAAGGTATTACTGAAAGTATGTGCCAAATGCTGTAATTATATACACTTAGAAAAAAAGTTTTAGTTTAAGTTACATAAAATATAAAAACGTATGCAATCTGCACTCCGAAATAAGAGCACAAAAACTGTCACAGGGTGGTTCTCCCCATAGGGGTTCAAAGAGAACATCTTTTATTATGGACTTCTATATAGAAACGCATACTATTTTAAGGTAATTTAATAATAATAACAACAATAATTTAATTTTAAATTATTAATTTATTTGTTTATTTTAACTGTATTATAATAATATTATGCATATACAATTATATTAAAATATAATTTTTTATAATACATTTTATTATTAACAATTTCCATGATTATTTTGGATAATATAACAATAATAATTGTATATTTTCTATAGAAATTCAATATCAATCATAATTTAATACTAATAACAATAATTTAATGGTAAATTATTAATTAATAATTTTTACCTGTATTATAATATTATGCATATTTAATTATATTAAAATAGCTTTTTAATAATATGTAATTATTATTAATAATTTTCATAATTTTTATAATATAATAATAATAATAATTTTGTATTTTCTATAATAATTTAATTACAACAATAATTTAATAATAATGACAATGATTTAATTATAAATTATTAATTTAATATTTATTTTACCTGTTTTACCAAGTATTATGTATACTTAATTATTATAAAATAGTTATTTTTAATAATATATTTACTAAAAATAATCATTTAAATTACATATGGATTTTTAATGATTAAGTATTATACCTATATATTTTTTTTTAATTATCAGTTTTTTAATTTTAACTATTTTTAAATGCTTTAAATATTATTAAAATTACTATTCTAAAGGTCTTTGTACAATAATATACTAATTAGTAGATCATAAAATTTACATTTAATTTACCTGTAATAGTATTAAAAACATCAAAAACGATCTAATTTAAATAACAAAAAAAATTATATAATACTATATTTTATTTGTAATTACATATTTACTTCTAATAATATTTCAAATTAAAAAACATTTAATGATATTTACTGATATTTTCTTCTTGTAGTAATTATATACACTTGGAAAAATAGTAAAATAGCTAAAAAAAAAAAAATATTTAAGAGCACAAAAACTGTCACAGGATGGTTCACCCCAAGGTGATTAACGAGAATATTTATTAATATGGACTTTTACATACAAACGTGTACTATTTTAAGGTACCGATAAAAATAATAGACATGCACAATAATCAACTGTTTTTTCAAAAAGGAATCATAATTTATGCAGTCGACATACATGTTTTGACAGATAATATGATGGTGATTTCATGCTTTGTTAAAGTTGCAGAAACTTTTACTGTCAAAATGCTTTTTTTGCTGTAAAATTAATTTACACCGTCAGTTATTCCTTACGCCGGTTAAGAAACGTGAATAGGCCTTCTATAATAAAGAAAATCCGCTCTAAATATATCATTAAATGAATTGCTAAATACTCTCGACAGATGAAAGTGTAAAGCCTGAAGCCCACAACAAAGGTGGAAAGTTATTGCTAATGTTTACTACGAATTTGATGAAATTTGGCTCACATGGATAATGGAATATTAATCAGATGATGGAAAGATAGATCACGATCTCAGATCAGTTCATCCGGACATTTTAATCTAATTTGCAAAGTTGTTTGAAGAACAAAATTAGCCAGAGATCAGTTATCAAGATTAAAAGATCCAGAATCTGGCAAATTATCTTAGATCATTTAAGCGAGGTATGAAGAACAGACCCCAGGTTAGCACTAAACGAAACATGACAGAAATTTAAATACAGCCATTCAGAAGCACAAAATAGTGCGCTCACTGCACTCCAACGAAATGGTAAGGTCGAAATTTAAACATCATTTATATATCATATATCATATATCTTGAATTGCTTGTAGTAAATGAAAGATTTGTTGTGCACTGGTGTGGTAAATTTTACAGTTATTGTTATGGTGTAAACAGGCCAACGGTCAATATTCGAAGAAGCATTGCACCTTAAACTGCACAATAAACGATGCATTGCGCCTTATTTACACTCTCTTGTACATTGTGTAACCTTAATTTAAATAAATAATCAAATTAATTTGTAAAAGTGCTTTTAGTTGCGATATGTGAACAGTCACTAAGACTGCGTTTAAAAACTTAAAACTAAATGCAGGATAAAAGTGGAGCATCTTTGACTGAAGAACTCCACTGTAATGCGAAGTGTTGAGAGATGTATAGGAGTGTGTGTGAGGGACACAGATGACGCTGCTGGACACACTGATGGAGTGGGCAAAAGAGCAGTCAATCTGCCTTGACCCACATTCCTCTGCTAACGATGCCCTGTGGGCGCGATGCCAATCTCTCATTAACACACACACACACACACAAGTGCACACACACACTGGCGTCCCTCTGCCCTTTATCGGGATGTGCCTAAAGCTGACCTTCAGGGTCCTGCTGAAAACCTACAGTGAACATGAGAGATGCACAGGTGCAGAAACACACACACACACACACGCTCTGGACATAATGAAAGGTGGCAGATAGAGGACTTTCGGCACTTCTGAGAGAAGCAAAACACCTCTCGTTATCTCTTCTCTTTGTTAAAGTCAAAACTGACTCTTTCTCATGACATTGTTATGAACAGTTCATCTTGGAATGTTTGCCATTTTTATATCAAAATGACTTTTAGTCTTGTTTGTTTTAGCCACCTGTCATTCATATGTAGACACTGTTTACTATCCTAATTAATTACTAACTAATTCTATATTATTCTGAACATTAAATTGTTGATAATAATATTAATAATAATATTAATAACATAATGATTTCTAGAATAATTTATTACAATAATTATTTAATAATAATCACAATAATTTTAGTAAAAAAGGGTAAATTAATATTTTTATCCTAACTGTATTATCATATTATGCATATTTATTATATTAAAAGTTATTTTTTAATCACATATTTATTGTTATACATTTTCATGATTGTTTTAAATAATATAATAATATTAATAAATTTCTATTTTATATAATATTGTAATATCAATCAAAATTTAATAATAATAACAATAATTTATGGTAAATTATTAATTTATTATTTATTTTACCTGTATTATCGTAATATTATGCATATTTAATTATATTAAAATAGTTATGTTAATAATATATCATTATTATTAATAATTTTCAAAATTTTTAATAATGTAATAATAATAATAATAATAATTTTGAATTTCTATAATAATTTAATTACAACAATAAAGTAATAATAATAATACCAATAATTTAATTATAAATTATTAATGTAATATTTATGTTATCTGTATTATCAAATATTGTGCATTTTTAATTCTATTAAAATAGTTTTTTAATAATATAATAATAATAATAATATTTTTCTATAATAATTTAATTACAACAATAATGTAGTAATAATAACAATAATTCAATTATAAATGATACATTTAATATTTAATATTAATACTACCTGTATTATCAAATATTATGTACATCTAATTATGAAATGGTTTTATAAATAACATATTTACTAAAAATAATCATTTAAATTACACATGAATTATTAATGACTAAGTATAATATCAATTTATATATACTTAATAATTATCTGATTTTTTATTTGAACTATTTTTTAAAATGCTTTAAATATATTTTAAAATATTATTAAAATTGCTATTCTAAATGTCTTTGTACAATAATATAATAATTAGTAGATCATAAAATTAACATTTAATTTACCTGTAATAATATTTAATTTAATTTAATTTAATTCAACATTTTATTTTATATTACATATTTACTTAATAATTTTTAATAAAAAATTAACATTGACTTTACTTGTAATATCATTCCAAATCACTAAAAATAAAACGTCTAAAAGTTAAAAGTTGTAATAATTTTATTTAATAACGATCTGAAAATTTTTAGATATATACTAACATGTCAAAATCAAAAATTTAATGCTTTTATTTTGTTTCCTCAACAGCTGAAATCTGATGGCTGCATTTCTACGTGATCCCATTCCTGATCAGACACAAGTGTACAATTCACAATCTCATCCTCACACACCTATTGCAAACCTGCCCTAAAAAGCACTCATAAACACACACACACACACACACACACACACACACACACACACACACTCACAAAGAGAAATCCATCTTTAAGAGAATCCTGGATTCCCCTGAATCAGACTGCACCATGTCCAAGGATAACTGCAAGCAAGTGGGCTGCAAACACAAAGAGCGCAAACCCAAAAAGCCGCACTACATCCCGCGCCCATGGGGCAAACCCTACAACTACAAATGCTTCCAATGCCCCTTCACCTGCATGGAGAAATCACACCTGTACAACCACATGAAGTACAGCCTGTGCAAAAACTCCCTGTCGCTGCTAATCGAGTCCGACTGGCCCTATAAAAAAGACCAGCTCCGGCTCCAGCAGGCAGCCGTCCGCTCTCGAAGCCCAGCGAAAGCTCACTCTGAGCAGGCAACAACCCCAGATGAGCCCTCGCACTCATCAGCCAATCTGGAGGAGGAAGAAACTGAAAAAAGAGATGAAAAAGATGAAGACATCCAAGAAGCAAATGCAGAAAACCCATCGGAAGCGTGTTCAAGAAGAGCGAAGCCATCAAAACAAGAAGCCGAATTGGTGATGGCGGACATGTTTTCTTTGGAAGAGCAACTTTTGCGAGCGCGCTCAGTGGAGGTGGAATCAAAACTGAGACACTACAGGCTGTCAAAAACATGTCTGTCAGGCCCAGCCGCGCTGCTTTCAGAACAATGGCGCATACTTAGCAATCAAACATCCAATGTGAAGCCAAAACCAGACGTGGCGGCTCCATCGCTACCCTGCTATCCTCCGGTCTCAACGAGTCAAATCGAATGCTCAGATCCACCAGCGTTCAATCTGTCTTTACTTGGTGTGGGTTATCCTTTGGCTCCAGGACTTCTGTCATATTTAAATCCAACACTAAGCAATGCAAACCCGTCAAACGCACCTCTACCATTCCTAGCATCACAGCTAGCGCACTCACAGAGACACTCGGAGCGTTCTCTACTCCCTCCGCATCTGTATTATCCGTTCTTGTGCGAACACACATTTGGAGCGACTCCTTCTTCATCAGCATCTGAAGCCAGTAAACTCATTAAAGCTCCATCTGTGGGTCTTCAGCCGCCTTCATATCCTCCAAAACTGAGCCTGTGGAAGGTGCCGGCGCTGCGGCCCTCGTCCAGCCAGAGCTCCCCGGCTGCGGTCTGGACGTCCCCCACACACTCGTCCCCAGAGCCGGGCCTCGGGGCACTGCAGGAGCGGGTAAGGGCGCGGGACGGGAAGAGCAGCTGGCAGCAGGAAACGTCGAGTCTGAAGAGGACGGCGATGGCGGGGTTCGACACCCATGGTGCACCGGTGGAAAAGAAACCAGCGCTGGAGATCGGCCTCGAGACTTTGAAAAACACTCAGAAACCTGCATCCATCGCTGCCTTGATGTCCAGCAGGATGCCCATACACAACAGGTGAGACACTGTTATCTTTTAAAATTGACATATTACAACACGTTAAAAAATGTGTGTGTGTGTGTGTGTGTGTGTGTGTGTGTGTGTGTGTGTGTGTGTATATATATATATATATATATATATATATATATATATATATATATATATATATATATAAGCTCTTTTTTCATTTAAATAGCATTATAAGTGCTTGGTTGATCTTGTGTCAATATTATTTTAAAAAATGCTCAAAATTTTAGAGGGAACAAAATTTAACCAAAGACATTGATCACACACAGGAAAAATAAATAAATAAATAATTAAATAATAATAATAATAATAATAATGAGTGACGCGGTGGCGCCGTAGGTAGTGCTGTTGCCTTACAGCAAGAAGGTCACTGGTTCGAGCCTCGGTTGGGTCAGTTGGCATTTCTGTGTGGAGTTTGCATGGTCTCCCCACTTTCGCGTGGGTTTCCTCCAGGCGTTCCGGTTTCCCCCACAAGTCCAAAGACATGCGGTACAGGTGAATTGGGTAAGCTAAATTGTCCGTAGTGTATGTGTGTGAATGGATGTTTCCCAGAGATGGGTTGCAGCTGGAAAGGCATCTGCTGCGTAAAAACATCTGCTGGATAAGTTGGCGATTTATTCCGCTGTGGCGACCCTAGATTAATAAAGGGACTGGGCCAAAAAGAAAATAATTGAATAAAAGAATAATAATAATAATAATAATAATAATAATAATAATAATAATAGTATGATAAAAAGATTATAATTGTACATGCAATTTATTATATAATATTTATTAACATTAATCACGTAATCAATGTCAATAAAATTTAATTTAAATGAATAAATACATATACAGTATTTTTTTCGTATGTGTGCGTTTTCCCAACTTTTATAATTTTTTTGTCTTTGGTTAATTTTTTTTTACCATATTAAATTCTGTTGACTATTTGATTGAAAAAAAATATAAAAAATATTTCAATATAAATTAAACATCAAAATCATTATTGGTTCTCTGCATTTGGACAAATAGATTACTAATAAATTGTATTGGCTGTTTTATAAAAATAATAATACATTTTATTTGCAATGCGCTTTTCTTAGATATAAAGCGCTACAAGGCAAAACACTAACAATACAAGTTTTTTTCCCTCTCCGCTGTCGCCTTTAGCTTGCATGGTTTGGGATCGGTAGAGCTACCCATCGATGAATTTGCTCTTCAGGGTTTGGACTCTCAATAATGATCTTAAACCACACTGAACTGAGCAAAACTGAACTGAACTAAAACACTAAAAACTGAACTACTCTCTTCCAATTACTATGACCATTTATGTGAAGCTGCTTTGACACAATCTACATTGCAAAAGCGCTATACAAATAAAACTGAATTGAATTGACTTGAAAAATACAAGGTGACCATCCTCAGTTAAAAGCAATGCTAAAAAGGTGAGTTTCTTAAAACATATATAAGATATATACAATTTTAAATGTACAAAAATTTTAAATGTCAAATAAACCTCCAATTTATTATTGGTGCTCTTGGTTTGGAGTACTAGGTAAGTGTTTAAGTAATTTATTTATACATTTTATAAAAATCTAAAAATTTGATTAAATAAATTAGACAATTAATTATTCATAATTAAAATTAATAATTAATAAATCATATATTCTAATACATTATATTAGAATAATGATTATATTAATGATAAATATTTATATTTATATTAATTATAAATAAATATTAATTATTTTAATTAAATATATTATAATATGTTATTAATTAATTGTTAATTTTATATATTATAATAAAATAATTTTTTATATTATTGATTAATATTTATAAAAATATAAATTATAAATTAATTATTTATAATGTGTGTGTGTGTGTGTGTGTGTGTGTGTGTGTGTGTGTGTGTGTGCGTGTGCGTGTGCGTGTGTGTGTGTGTGTGCTTAATTGATATTTTGAAACTCCCATTTAAAATCCTGAACAAATGTTATAAACTATGGATCAAACAAAGCACAAAGAGTATTTAACTCAAAATACATTCCCATTAACCCCCATTCAGACAACCAACAATAATTAGCTTTTCTCTCCTAGTCGCATATGAGTCTTGAGCATGTTATGCATCACCATTCGGGATGCAGTTGTCAAAATTATTCGCTCTCCTGTATATTTTTTCCGCAGTTTCTGTTTAATAAAAAGAAGATTTTGTTCAACAATTTCTAATCATAATAGTTTTAATAACTCATCTCTAATAACTGATTTCTTTTATCTTTTTCATGATGACAGCACATAATATCTGACTAGATATTTTTAACACTAGTATTCAGCTTAAAGTGACATTTAAAGGCTTAACTAGGTTAATTAGGCAAGTTAGGGTAATTAATAATTATTGTATAACAGTGGTTTGTTTTGTAGACAATTGACTAAAAATATTGCTAAAGGGGGCTAATAATATTGACCTTAAAATGGTTTTAAAATAAATAAAAACTGCTTTTATCTAAGCAAAACAAATAAGACTTTCTCCAGAAGAAACAATATTATAGGAAATACTGTGAAAAATTCCATGCTCTGTTAATCATTATTCACAGGAGGGCTGATCATTTAGACTTCACTGTATATCTAATAGAACTTTGTGTGTTCCCGCAGCGCCGGCTCGTCCCCGCTGCATCTGTCTGAGCAGCTGGAGGCCAGACAGAGAGGAATGGAGAGAGAATCGGCGCTCCTGCAGGACTTCAGCGCATTATTACAGGAGTACCAGCTCACCGAGCAGCGCGCCGCGTCCCTACCGGAGCAGTGCCATCTGTGGGCACACCTGGGCAAGATCCGCACGGAGCTCTCGCATATTCAACAGGCACTAGAGCGGACGGCTCGGTCCAACGAAGGACCTCTGGATCTGTCAGTCAAGAAGGATCATCCACTAATCGTCAATGCAATTCCTGGAGAAACTAAAGACGAAGACTGCTCTGAAACTGAAGATGAAGATGATGACGATGATGATGATGAAGATGACGGTAAAGACAGACGCAAGTGTTCTCTGGATGCGCTGATGAAGCTGAATCCTCTGGTGAAGACGGAGGTGTTGACAGGCAGCGCTGAAGCTCTGTGGCACAGCAGGACCACAAAGTGTGAAGCGGATTCAAGTGTCCTTCTGTGCTCCAAAACGCCCAACAGACCCCCGTCCATCCAGCATCTGGACACACTCTGTCCCAGCAGCCCGCTCACAACCACTGACACACTGGTGTAGAGGAGATCACACACACACACACCCTGGACGAAACTAGCAGGCAAATGATCAGATGTACAGCTGAAGTCTACATTTCCCAAATGATGTTGAACAGATTCAGGAATTTTTCACAGTATTTCCAATAATATTCTTTCTTCTTATTTGTTTAATTTAGGCTAAAATAAAGGCAATTTTTTATTTTTTCAAACCCATTTTAAGGTCAGTATTATCAGCCCCCTTAAGCAATATTTGTTTTGGTTGTCTACAGAACAATATCAGGTCAAATAATATGTCCTTTCATCATGGCAAGGATATTAGATATGAGTTAATAAAAATATTATGTTTAGAAATGTGTTGAAAAAATCAGATTATTATATACTATATCATTCATTTACTTTCTTTTCGGCTTTGTCCCTTTATTAATCTGGGGCTGCCACAGCGGAATAAACCACAACAGCATAAGTTTTACGCAGCGGATGCCCTTCCGGCTGCAACCCATCAGTGGGAAACACCCATACACACTCATTTAAACACACACTATGGACAGTTTAGCTTAGCCAATTCACCGATAGCATGTCTTTGGACTTGTGGGGGGAAACCGGAGCACTCAGAGAAAACCCACGCCAACACGGGGGAGAACATGCAAACTCCACACAGAAATGCCAACTGACCCAGCCGAGGCTCAAACCAGCGACCTTCTTGCTGTGAGGCGATCGTGCTACTCACTGCACCATAGAGACGCCCTATTATATATTAAATAATATATTGTTTTATTATTATACTATATTATTATTATTATTATCAAATTTTAATTCTATTTCAAATATTTCACAAATGCTTTTTAATTTAACGTTTTTTGTTTTTTTTTTCAAACATGTTTTTTAAAAATTTTAATAACTATTTTTTGATGTCTTTGACATGATGACATAGGGCCCTATCATACACCCCGCTACACAAGACGTGTTTCTATGAAGTGTTGGTATTTTCAGATCGGGGCAACACTAATTTTCCTGTTTTCCACTACGCTGTTTAAATAGTAGATCCATTTCCACCACTTTGTGGACTCATGGGTGTTTCGGTCTAGATTAAAGGCTTGTTAAGGTGCATTGTTGGCGTGTTGCTGTTTTGAGGAACTAAAATAAACTGCGCAATAGACCAGCTGAAAGCAGGTCTATTGTCCAGCGCAGAGCATATAAGTTGTGTACCTTGCTTACACACTGCTTAATACACACAGGATGAACAGCAATACGCAAATATCTTTACAGATGAAAAAGAATTAAAGAAATAAAATATTACAAAAATGATTATTTTCTACATAAATAATGGGGATTGGGAATGGGAGATGAGTAGGTCCACACGGAATCTGCGCGCGCAGAATTAATTCTGTTTATTTATTTAAGTAAATCTAAGTTTATTCAGTTTTTAAATTAATTTCAGTTAAATTACTGACTAATGTGAAAATGTTCGCCTGATTTATGTATTTTTACCAAAATTCTCTGCAGAAATAGCAAAAAAATGTCCGCAGATTCGCGGATAAGTCATTGGACAACAGTGTTTTTTTCTGTAGCCTATGAGAAAATAATAATAAAAACACTGAAATTTTTATTTCATTTAAATCCCAATTTAAGCCAAACTCATTCATTCATTTTCTTTTCGCCTTGAAATGGAATGAACCACCAACGTATCCAGCATATGTTTTATGCCCTTCCAGCTGCAATACAGTACTAGGAAACACCCAAATACTCTCATTAACACATATACTGTACACTACAGACAATATAGCTTACCCCATTCACCTATAGCACATGTGTCTGGACTGTGGGGAAAACCGGAGCACCCAGAGGAAACCCACACCAACACGGGGAGAACATGCAAACTCCAGACAAAAAATGCCAACTGGCCCAGCTGAGGCTCAAACCAGCGACCTTCTTGCTGTACGGTGCTAAACGCTGCACCACCTTAAGCCAAACTAAAAAAAATAAACCTTTGTCTAGAATAAAACAAATAAATAACAGGAAATACTGTGTAAATGTCCTTGCTCTGTTAAACATCACTTGGAAAAGAATTAAAATTTCTATTCAATTTTTCCTTCAACTGTACCTGGCTGAATCTGTGTTTCACGTGATCTTAAAGATTTGGTCTTTTTAATTTCAGTCAAAGATGTTTAAAATTAATCAAAAATGAACAAAATATTTAATTTAATTTATTCTTATGAACTTTCTAATCACCAAGAATTCCAACAACAAAACAAAGATATCAAGTTATTTTGATACGCATCAAATGATTTCAAATGCAAGTCACTTTGAACAAAATAATCTGCTAAATGACTCCATGTAAATGTGTTTGAACTATATCTAAGATCATTAAATCAGAATATTTGAATGATTTTCGGATGATCATGTGACATGGAGAAATCCAATCACATCAGAGAAATAAATGATCAATTCACAGTGAAAACACTCATTTAATAATGATAAGAATATTTCAGATCATTAATAATGCAGCCTTGGTGAGCATGAGAGACTTCTTTTAAATGTAAAAATCAATCAAAATGAAAAGCACCTTACGCCAAAAATAGCTGATGGAGAACTAGTACATGCACTAACTTGATTTAAATCTTTACTTAATTAAGATTGATTCAATTCTTTGTACAGTGTGAGTCCTGTTACAGGACAACGATTAAATAAATAAGTGTTGAGGAACTGTATTTATTTTGATGCACTTGTCTGTGATACATTATTATCATTTTTGACTTATTATTTATCATTTTTGTGCTCGACTTTCTTGTCTTCTGTAAATAATGAACATTTCAAATCTTCTAAACGGGATGATTGTTTCGCACAATAAAGCCAATGCAAATCTCACGTCATCGTTTCATCTGTTGCAGTGAATCAAATAATCTGTAATAAAACACTGAATTATTTTAGCTCTTGTGTGGATATCTTGGCTTCTACAAGATTAAAAAAGGAGAATTTACTCACTTTTTACTCTGCCTCAAGTGGTTGCAAACCTTTATGAGTTTCTTTCTTCTGCTGAACACAAAAGAAGACGTTTTGAAGAATGTTAGAAGCCGGTAACCGGACTTCATCAGAAAAAAAAAAAACCAATTACTATTGAAGTCAATACTTACCGCTTTCCAACATTTTTCTAAATAAATTATTTAGCATTTAAGAGAAGTAAGAAATTCATACAACCTTGTGGCAACTCACTGTTTTTTTTTTTTTTTTTTTTTTTTTTATTTATTACAGTTATGAACTGCATTATGGGACATTAAAATGTGTTTATTTGACTTTTGTTGCTGAAAATTCAGCAGTGCATTATAACAAAGTAGCTTTTATTTATTTTTATTTTTTATTTTATTTGTTATTTGGCAGGGACAGTGCACATTAATTAGCATTTCTGCAAATATACCACAATAAGCCAGAGGGCCATTATTTATCTGTTGTCCTAAAACAACCTAAAAAAACAATACAAGAGTTATTCAATCAGTCATAGTTAAAAAGTACTAAAATATACATAGTTATGTAGATGTTAATAAAAAAATTCTCTGTAAACCAGATTTTAAAATGTTTTTTGAACATATTAAATGCAGGTATATCTCTGATGCTGCCAGGAACAGAATTCCACTCCAGTGCAGCTGTTAGAAGCCGGTAACCGGACTTCATCAGAAAAAAAAAAAAACAATTACTATTGAAGTCAATACTTAACGCTTTTCAACATTTTTCTAAATAAATTATTTAGCATTTAAGAGAAGTAAGAAATTTATACAACCTTGTGGCAATTCACTGTAAAAAATTAATAAGCTAATTAACAGCTTCAGTTTGTCGCGCGATTCACAGTTGTTTTTTTTTTTTTTTGTTTTTTTTTTATTTATTACAGTTATGAACTGCATTATGGGACATTAAAATTTGTTTATTTGACTTTTGTTGCTGAAAATTCAGCAGTGCATTATAACAAAGTAGCTTTTATTTATTTTTATTTTTTATTTTATTTGTTATTTGGCAGGGATAGTGTACATTAATTAGCTTTTTAGCAAATATTCTAAGCCAGAGGGCTATTATTTATCTGTTGTCCTAAAACAACCTAAAAAAAAAAAACAATACAAGAGTTATACAATCAGTCATAGTTAAAAAGTACTAAAATATACATAGTTATGTAGATGTTAGAAAAAAATTATTATTAAAATTTTTTTTTTGAACATATTAAATGCAGTTATATCTCTGATGCTGCCAGGAACAGAATTCCACTCCAGTGCAGCTGTAACTGAAAGGCAACCTGAACAAAGGTACTTTTCCGGAGTGTGTGGTGTTCCTGATGTTGACAAACTGACTGAGAGGTGGGGATAAAAGACCATGAATTATTTTATACATCACACAAATGTTTGAGTATTTAATGACATTTTCCCAGCTTAACAATTTATGTTTTTATAAAACGCTAAAATGATGATGTCTTAGAGGCTTTTATCAAGTATTTTAATTGACTGTTTGTAAAGTGACTCTATGGGTTTAAGTGTTGTTTTGTTTGCCTGTGAACAGGTTGTTAGACGGTAAGTTATACATGAAAAGAATTATTGAATGCATGAATATTTTAGCTGCCTGCAGTGATAATTGTGACCTTATGGACTGGGTATTAGATATATTCAATTTAACATACCTTTTTAATTTGTGATTTAAAAGTTAATTTGAGTCAATTTGGACCCCCAGATATTTAAATTCAGAAACAATTTGTATTTTGTCCCCATCGATATAGACGTCTGTTATTGACAATTTAGTAGTTTGAAACAATACCCAGCAGGCACAGGACATCAACATGACGTCAGATTGATGTTGTACCCCAACGTTGTAAGGGTCCATCTATTAGTCCTATGACGGAAGTAACAGTATGGATGAAGGTTAAATGTGTGTGCGCTTTTTCAGCACATGTTAAAGGAAATATTTTTACTTGTCAAAATTTATTTTAATTTGTTTCCAACTCCAAGTTTAATCTGAATCTACAGTTTATAATAATTTATCCAATTCAAGCAGATCAGCTAATAGGTCGTGATTAGGACTAATTTAGATCAATTAACCTAATAAATCCTTATTTTCCATTAATGGTTCATCCTTTACCCGAATTTGCTTAGAGTCAGTAAGCTGGCCA